TTATTATTATTATTATTATTATTATTATTATTGTTATTACTATTATTATTATTATTATTATTATTATCTTGAAAAAAAATTAAAGAATTTCTAATTTGCCTTTATTTCACACACAAAAACTACTCATTTTTCAAAAAATTGTCGTTTTCTTATAAGAAGTTGTCTTAAACTTCAGAACTTTTGTAATTTTCAAAAATTCAGAGTTAAGAAAATATCAGATTATAAGCATATTTGCCCTATCCTAGAAAACAAATCTAATCCAAAAAATTGGTGCAATGTATGAGGAAATTTTAAAATGTAGTTGAGGCCTCATATAAAAAATCAAAATAACTGTTTTAACTTCATGAAGACTTGAGTTTGACCAGATCTAACAAGGAACATCCATTTTGGACAAAATTGTCTGAACTGTTTACCTACTAGTGTTGACCATAAACAGACAAACGAATAGACATGTTTTACCATAAACCAATTTTTCGATATCAAGGACCCACAAAACCTGAATTCAGAGTACACAGCTAGAGGAAGGAATATAGAAGCAAGAGTTATCCGCTATTACATAATAGGGATCCACAAAATGAGTTTTTGTGTTAAAATATCGCCACTTTCCACTGTAGCTTTACAATATTACAAAACGTCTCTTACTACGTACATATGTAGTAGGTGAGCTATTAAAAAAATATGTAGGAAAGTATCTCAGATAAACTGTGAAAGAGTGCAAAGTGAAAAGGATTGTAAGGAACTATAGAAATGCAGAAGTGCTCTATCAAAGGGGTGTTATATTCATAATAAGTACAATAACAATAATAGCAGTACCAGTATAATAGAAAATAAAGGTATTGTATGCAATACTGTTATATTTTTTTAAAAACATTTTTGTACGATTTTTTTAAAATCTTAAATTGTCAAAGTTGGGGAAAGTAATTAACCTGAACTGACTCTAGAACATGTGAATTAGTTTGATGCCTTGATTTATTTCAATATGCTTATAGTGTCTCTAACAATTTATAGTTGCTTATTTCATTCGTGCTTCATTTCTTTAAATAATACTTTCTCAGGCATTGTGAAGAAATTTGTGAGAGTTTCTTACATTAATGTTTTTAACAAAAAGAAAGAAATGCATGGTTCCATTTTGGTTCATCTCTTTTTAGATTTAACTCATCTAAAAATTATTGTTATGAAATACTTTAAATGTTTTGATTTAAATTATTTATTAATTTTCAGAATTACTCAAAGAATATGAAACTCTCAATAACACTGTTAATCAAAAGACTGAATCCCTTTTGGATCTCCTAAACTCACGAAAACAGTTTGAAGGTGAAGTAAACAAAATAAAACATTGGTTAAATGAAGCAGAAGTTGCCACATCTGCAGAGATCAGAGTTAGTAACATGGGACTTTTAGAAGAGCAACTTGCAAAGGTAAGCGAAAGAACTAGATAATAAATAGAATGTAAAAAAAAGTACATAAATGGTAAAATGTCATTATTACAAATCAAAATGTGTAAGTTAGATTGAGTGATATGTATAATTCTTTTCAAATAAATAAAAAATAATGGAACAAATATATGAGAAAAGATATAAATGCATGAAATGTATACAAGATAATGTTGGATTTTCAGAGAAAATTATAAGCATGTTAATATATAAATATAAATATATATATAAAAAGATGATAGAAGAAAAATGAGTAGTAATTATTTTTATATAACAATATGTACTCTTTTTTTTAGTATTTATGTCCATGAATATTAGAATAATTGTTTAATTCTTTCTCTTTATAGTATGATAAACTCCATAAGGAAGCAGAGAATATTCAAGGTAATATAGACAATGTAATTCTTCAAGCCAAAAATATCTTGCTATATGTGAGTGAAGCAGACAAACTGACTCTCTCAGAAGAAATAAATGCTATGAAAGATAAACATGCCCGCATCACTGGTATTATATATGACCGATCTGATGCATTGCAAGGACAATTAAAACAATATAAAGATGCTGCTGCTAAAATTTCTGAAAGTGTTCAGTTCATGACTGAAATTCAGAAGGAACTGAAAGATCTGAATCGTCCCATCAGCAGTAAAATTGAAGATGTACAAGGAATGTTAGAATCTTATGAGGTAAGGTACAAAAAAAAATTTTCTTCAAATTCTCAGTAATATGTCAGTATCAAATTACTATGTTCTTCTTGAATCTTTGTGTAAATTAAAATATATTATTTTGAGGTTGGTTTTTGAAGTTCATAGATATTACATAGTGGTGCTACAGCAGCACATACTTTCTCACATTGTTTTTAAATTTGCAATTTTCGAAAATTCAGAGTTGAACAAAAATGACACCAGCCCCGTTCTTTGAAGCAATCCTTGTTCTATCCATGGAAAAAATTTGGAGAAAAGTTTGGAGTAGTTTTCAAAAAAATGTTTATTTTATAAATTGCATAATTTTAAAGCACAAATGAAACAAAGACTACTCGTTCAAAAAAAAAAATTGTACATGATCTTTTTTAAAGAGCTTTGGTTTGAGGCAAAAATCTGTAGCCTTAATTTTGTAGTTTTAAAATGTTAAAATTTTGCAAATTTTGAAAAAACAGAGAGCTTGCCAGAATTGAGAATAGCAAAATTGCCTATTTTACATGCACAATTATATAAAAACTACTCATAATTTTCAAAAATTGTACATTACCTTATTTCAAGATCTGCCTTTAAAGAATAGATTTGATTCTGGAAAAAATCTTCAATATTGTAGATGTAGGAAGACACCATCAAAATGTCAAGATTTGCAATTTTTGTAAAATCTGAGATTATGATGATAATGAGAACTGTACCATTCTCACAAGTGTCTGTTTCACTATCCAAAGAAAAGCGTTAAATCAAAAAATTTTGAGCAATTTTTGAGGAAATTTTGAAAATGTTGAGGCTTCATATAGAAAGTTCCCAAAATCAAAATATCCATTTCTCACAGGGCTTTAAGTTCACTTAAATTGATCAGGGAATATCAATTTTGGAGAAAATCATCTGAACCTATTTAGGTGCTAGTGTTCAGCAAAGACAATTTCACTTTTGATTTTTGACCCACAAAACGTGGATTCTGATTACACAAACTGTTAGAGGAAATAATTTACTATGCATACGAATACGATTTAACCATCTTTTGTTACCAGTGATCAATAATAAGAGTTTTTCTGAGGAAAATTTGCCATTTCCCGGCACATGATTACAATACTTTGTCTTCTTTCAAAGTAAGGGTGAGAAATTAAAAAGGAGTTTCCATAATTTTTGTAGTTTCTCAAACATTAATCAACAACAAATAATGCTTTACTATTTCTAACTTATGACAATTAAGTCAGTGATGAGGATGTAGAAGAAATGTACTTACATAATGTTTTTTACATGTATGTTTATTTAAATAAATAAATACATACACTAATTTTGTAAATAATGTGCATATTTAATGTACTGTTTTTTCTCTCTGTAGAAAATACTTGCAGATTTGAAAGCAAACAAACTTAAGTTAGGACATCTTCAAGTTGGTAATGTCAGTGAACTGCAAGGAATCACTCAACAGCAGGATGATTTAATTCAAGCTATCGAAGCCCAAATAGCTCGACTGAGGCAGCTGCTACTTTTGCGGGAACAATTTATTGCACTTATTACTGAAATTATGACTTTTATTACAAAATATACTGAAGTAGTTCGTGATATAGAGAAAGAAGGTCATACGGTTGAAGAGAAAATTCGCAAATATGATGATGTAAGTTTCAAGAGAGTACACTATTAAGCATTATGGTACATTACATTTTTTATTTAGTTATAAAAGTAACTTTGTTTTCACAACTTAGCAAAAGTATGAAATGGAAACATATGAGTTTTAATTCTACTTAGCACATTTTTATAATTTTTTTCCCCCCTTGAAGGTCATTGTTAAAATTCAAGAATGTGAAGCTCTCTTAGCATCAGCTACTGATAAAGGTCAACAGATTGCTGCTGAAGGCTCAGTATCTGATCGCAACAGCATTACAGAACAGTTGCAATCACTGAAACAGTCATTACAAGCCTTACGAAGAGCAGTTGAGAAACAACGTGAGCAACATGAAATGACTGTGGCTGAACACAAAAAACTAGCAGCAGAACTGGAAGAGGTTTTGGATTGGCTACATGCAAATGAAGCAGCTGTCCGATCTCGTCCCCTATTGGATCGTGATCCTACAAGTGTTAATGTGGAAATTGACAAGCACAAGGTTTGCTTTGTTGAGTTTTACTAGAGTTTTATTACATTCAATATTTGGACTTAGTATAATTTTTACTTGAAGTAGAGAATATGGTTGTAATGAAAAAAAAAATGTTCTTCCATAATATTAATGCTGGATTTTTAATCCATTTTTTATACATTTTCTTCTTTTAATGTTTCTGAAGATAATAAAAGCAGTTGTTCATATCTAAATCCAATATTTAGCATATGAAATGGATTAAGCATTTTAAATCATTTATTTAAACAAAGAAAAACATTCCCTTGAATTGGTTTCAAATAGTGAATAAAATTGTGAAATGATGTGAACTAGAGCATAGTTTTAATTTACATATGAAGTGAAGAGCATCTAGGGGACTAATGTTCATAGAAAACAATGTATTATCTGTAAATAATTATTTCTTTCATTTGATATCATGACGTATAATTTAAGCACTGATTAAAAGTATACTAATTTAATTACATGAATGAGACCCACCACCATTATTAGTGGTGAATATAAAAGCAAAACCATACTGACAAGTGTGCCAGTGAATGGAAGGTTGCGGGTTTAATACTGGCCAGATGCAAAACATTAGCTTGATCTGCTGAATATCAGCATTTTTGTGACATTGCTGGAATTGAAACTGTAGGTCAATTGCTCTGATTGGTGATTCCCCTCTATCACTTCCAGGTAAATGCTGGATCAGCCCTCTGTGCGACACATAATGTACCGTGCATGATCGCATTTCCGTTCTATTGTGTTCTCTTTCCATTTATCTCCCTTAATCTTGACTAGGAGGACATCACGTGGGCCATGTCCTGTACCTTCCCCCTCATGGTATTTAGTGGTGGGGGAGACCAACATCTCATAGTGGATTCAATAAAATTGATAAAAATAATAACAAAACCTGTTTTTGCTTTGTTTTGATAAATATACATGTTAATAGTTTTTAATATTTATATTTCTGTCGTAGGAATTAGCTACTCAAGTAAACAGTTATCTGGATCGTATTCGTGCTGTGCAAGATAGTGTTCGACATGATGATGGAATGCCTGGTTCACTCTTGGAGAAACTTAGTGAAGCTAATTCATTGCTTAATACTCTTCCTGCTGAACTAGAAGAAAGAGGCAAATATTTGGAAATGAATAAAACATTGCGTGTTGAGTATGCAGCTTTGAAGGATCGTCTACATAATTGGGTGCGTGATGCTGAAGTCCATCTTAATTCAAATTCTGAGGGAATAGACTTCGAAAATATAGTTCAAGAACTAGAAGAACACAAGGTAGGTTCTCATGTTAATTCATTGTATAATCTATGTCCGAAGTTTTGTTTTTATATTTATGCAAAATGTTATTGATACTAAAGAGTGGTAATATCTCTTTCACTCATTGGAGAACTTCAGAAGAATAGTTGAGTGATTTCATTTCTGTGAAAATGGTAAAAGTTTTTTTTTTTTTTTTTTTTTTTTTTTTTTTTTTTTTTTTTTTTTTTTTTTTTTTTTTTTTTTCTCCCCTTTCTTTCTTTCATTCCTTTGGCCACCATCTTCATTAGAATGAAGATTTACTTACTTGATGTTATTAATAAATGCAAAATTGATTCATTAGTACAAACTCTTCACTAGCCTTAAAATTATATATCACATTGATATCTATTTCTTTTGAAGGTATTTTTTGGAAGTGAAGCATCAATGAAGGAACTAGTTTCTCAACATATTCAACAAGCTGCTGATCGTATCTGGCCATCTCTATCTGCACCTGAACAGGAAGAACTCAGTCAAGAACAACAACAACTCACTCAGAGTCTCAAAAATACCTTAAATTTAGCAAGATCGAAACAGGCTCTTCTGGAGCAAAATATAGAGGTGTGGCGAGATTACTGCCATGCTCTTGATAAGGTTCAAGCTATATTAAGCCGTAGTCAATTCAGTGATGAACCAGGATGCACTCTTGCTGGTCTACAATTTAGCATTCAGAAAATAAATCATGCTTTAACTGATATACAGGTAAATAAACCTTTTATTATTTTAGCTCCTTTGTATTACGTAATTAAGGTAATATTCAATAACTAAGTAAGCCAACCTGGGTAGCAGAGATTGTTAATGCAGTGACAGTCTCGGCTCGAAGGGTTTTGGGTTGCATTGTGCATGGAAATGTGCTGGTGGTATTGTGGCACGGTGTGGCTCTCCCAAACCTTCATATATTACCTTTCAACTCTCTGCCTTCAATTTCTTGCCTACTTGGTGGCACAGAGGCATGGAGCAGCTGCTTCTAATTGTGGTTTAACCAATTCTGTAGGTTTGAATCCTATGTTATGAGGTTGTGTGTTGTTGCTTGGTGGGACAGACCCAATCACTGTGTAGTATCCTCCAAACCCACCCTTCCTTGCCATTCCAAACCAAGATACCTTCCCCCAAGTTGGATTTTCTTAGTTGTGTTGTGCCTATGCAGCCTATCCTTGGCAGTTCTGTTTTCCTAGTGACTGATGAACACAGGCCTCCTGGCCATTTCCTAGGAGAGGGTTGTGTTCAGACATAAGGTGAATGAAATATGAGAAGAGGGAAGGGCAGATGGCTCAAGAACTTATGGCAAAGGAGATTTTAAATGTCGGGATACATGGGTCACATAGGACCTAAAGACTAAAAGGTGATCTGATCAAATTTAAATTTATGTTCTTAAAATAAGTACGATAACTGAACAAACTATTTAACGTTCCAATTATTAAATGTCACTGTAATCTAAAATGAATTCTTTGTACCAATATTATCTTTATATCACTGAAAATGAAAGGTAAATTGTTCAGTGATAAAAACACACTTATATGTTTAATAACTTAAATAAAATCTGAGAGCCTGAGAGATAAAATACATGTTCTCTCTGAATTTATATAAACTGATAGCTGGTGCACAGGAAGGAAATAAATTGCAAATGAAGACCATGCCTGGGCCTCGTAGTTATATAATAAAAATGAAGAAGAGAAAATTTTAAGAGTGAAACAAATGAAATATTACATTTATGGATGTTAATATAACTGTGAAACATTGTAGCATAACATCGTCACTCTAATTGTAAATTTGTTTAATTGGAAAAGTAATTAGAGTTATACCTACTAGAAATAATTTGAGTTGATTTAAATAATATGCATACAGCTTCTACTTTAAAATAACAATATTGTGAAAAAATGAATTGAAGATGAATTATCTATTTAAATTTAAGCATTTTTTAATTTTCTTCTTCTTTCTTATTACCCTAAGTAATAGAAAACATCTCAGAGTGGTTAAAAAAAATTGCTCTTATTTCCACGGTCATCCTCTTTATCATTGTTCTCTATCCCATACTAGCTTTTTTATATTTTCACAAAATGCTTTGTGATCAGAGCCATTTTCAATTTGACTTCCATAGGCAAAAGAAAATGTTGCCATCCTTTACTGAGTTCAAACTTAATGAACACTTAATGAGTATTGACTAAATAATTTGGTTTATTTGATGTTCTTCAATGAAATTTTAGTGTACTAAATTGTTTCTTGTAAATAAGAAATATATCACAACTCTTTTCATATAAAAAGTTGCGTCCCTCAACATTGGCTGTCGTTGTCTGTTGTTTGCTGTTGATGATTTGTCTCTGATATAAAACGCCTGTGTCTGTAATAAGGGAATTAATCAGTATTAAGTACTAGTAATAATTGTATGCAATAATACCATGTCTTAATGCTAATAAAACAAGAGAATTGACTCCAGAAATACACATCACCAATTGATAATATTTCATGTCCAATACCCTTTTACCATTAAAAGTTAGTAACAATTAAAAAATACTTAATTATTTTGTACTATCAAATATTTTTTAACTTAATGATATATAATTCATGAGAGCTCAAGAACAACAACTTTAATACTGCAAATTTATTTGAAGTTGTGATATTTGCCTGTTGTTTTAAAATGTCATTTTCTCTTGCAACTAATGTAGATTTATTTACTTGCAAAATCTTCATACTACTGTAAAAGTAATTGATAAAGAAAATTTAATTTTTATGAAACTGAGTTGTGAACATCATCAATACTTTTTGTGTCATTTTTAAAATTTCATAAAAGATTCGTTAGTTACCACGATGTTCTGTAGACCTTCCAGAATGTTAATGTGTGATGCATTCTTCAGTAAAAGGATGGAATATTAATGAGGTCTGAGTGACAGACGAGCCAATGAGTAATTTAATTTTACTGTAAGAAATTATCATACGTAGCATTTATTAAGATTTTTCAGATAAATGTGAATCAAAATCTGATTCCAAATGTCTTAATAACATGGACCAAGAACATGAAGTAGTTACAGAAATAATTTACTGATTTGAATATTAATATTTTTTTGGCAAATGTAAATAACAGGGCAATTGTTTTGAGATGTGCGTTCTTAATTATATATTAATGGTAATATCTTTTTTACAGAATCAACAAAATGAAATAGACTTGCTAAATGATCATGCAAAAGAAATTAAGCAACAAGCTGATAAAAACAATGCAGAAAAAATTGATTCTCAAGTGAAGAATATGAATACTAGATGGACAGAGTGTATCACAGGTTTGGAAACTCGTCGAGACAATTTGCAAACATTGTCTGTTGACTGGGAGGTATGTATTTTTAAATCTACCTCACCCATTTTCAGGGTACATAAATCCAGTGATATTATTATCTTTCATACTCTACAAGTCTGTATTTACATTTCTATTTTACCCTGTTCTTTTATCATGTGAATAGGGCATTTCACCCAAAACTTTCCTTGCTAAAAAAAAGAAGTAAAATTGTTGAGAGCATTGCATTGTAACTTTTATTTTCCATTTTCCTGTTTTTCTTTTTTAAACATCTCAATCTAAAATTTTTTTCCTATAATTCTGGCCAATTTTTCACCAGGAATTTGAGAAGAATCTTCAAAATTTTGAAACCTTGTTATTTAGTTATGAAGAGAAAACTCGCCATGTGGATACTGTTGTTCGATCAAAGGCTCAAATAACAGAAGTAAAGCAATCGTTACAGGTAAAGGCATTAAATTGTTTTCAAGTATGTGGGCTATTGTTTTTCACGTTGAGTTTCTGTCTAAATTTTTCTTGCAGGGTCTCTTGTCAGAAATACAGGACTGTAGTTCCCTTCACGACAATATTTTATCACTTTCTGTGCCGGTAATAGAGTACTTGAAAACAACATCTGAATCTGCAGCCCAAAGCCTTCAAGAAAAACTGAATAATACTTCAAGCAGCTATCAGCAGTAAGTATTTCATTTATTAATTAATTTTGATTGAAAATTAATTTTCAGTATTGAAAAGCACAATAAAACCCACCTTTAGATTTCCTGCAATTTACGTTTTCCCACCATTTACAGCATTTCTTCTCTGTCACATTCATTTTCGTATAATGTTATAAATCATTCGCTTTTACATTAGTATAATTTCAATTTCCCCGCACTTTATAACTGCTTGCCACAACACCATCTGGAGAGCACTTTGTATTGCTGCGTTTTATAATATCACCTGTGATATTATAAAGATTTTATGAAATGTTACATGGTTTTTACTGATTGTTTACTGAAGATTTACTGAAGATTTAAATACAGTGAAAATCATGATTGAGCAGCTAGGCCTGAATTTACACATTTTCATTTCATGACATTAATACGATGTTTATTCTCATTAAATTTGTTCAAGAATTGGCCCTGACTGGGATTTGAACCCGGGCCTTCTGATTTATGCCAAGCTGCTCTAACCATTAAGCTATCAAGACAATCAATCCTTTGAACAATTTTCATGAGCACGATTATCACTCCTTGTATGCAATTATATAGATACAAGGAGCAATAATCATGTTCATGGAAACTGTTCCAAGGATTGGTTGTCTCGGTAGCTTAGTGGTTAGAGCAGTTGGGCGTAAACCAGAAGGCCAGGGTTTCTAGTCGGGGCAAGAACAAATTTAATTATTAAAATGCATTGTTGCGCAGTAACATGGTCACAATTTGGATTCTTTACGACTGCGGAATATATTCTCCAAGTGTAATTGCATCCAACAAGGTGGCGGGAATGCTGTGATTTTTCCCAATTTTGCCCGTGGCAGGTATAAGCTGTTGACAGTTTCATCCAATCAGGAGCTTCAACGTTACCATAGTGATGTCACTATGGGTATCGGTTGACAGTTTCATCCAATCAATTTTGAATGTTACCATAGTGATATCAATATGGTGACGTTCAAGCTCCCGATTGGATGAAACTGTCAACAGCTGATAACTGCCAGGGGCAGAGTTGCCAAAATCACAGTACAAAATGGTATAAAAAATGACCAATGTGCTTTGCTAGAAGACTATAAGAGAGGTAGCCTCATGGTGAAATTTCCACCATGGGTAGCCTCAAGATCATTTATTTATATCATCCTCTTTCACAATTTCACATTTTCTCATTCTAAAATAAACATTTTTCCCCCATCCTTTAATAACTCTTAACTGTCAATTTCACCAAGGATTCTCCATATGTTTTTGGTCGTAAATTCATTTTGTGAACCCATTTGCTAAAAATAAATAATTAAAATATACAAGTTGTCTGCAGAAAAGATTTTACTTAGCACTTAAACTTGTGCATCAATTTTAATTGTGGGCACTGTGTTGTAAAATAATGAGCACTCATTGAGCACTGTGTTGTAAAATAATGTTCATATGTCGATTTGAAGACCTCATTGCTTCAAAAATTGTAACAATTCATTTAGTAAACTAACACAATAAAGAACACAGATTGAAATGATTACTAGTGGGAGAGAAAAAGAAAGGGAAAAAAAATTACCCTTTGGATTAAAACTAAAAAAATTCATAGAAAACAAACAACCAGCATTGTCTCAGAGTCAAGAAGTTCAAAATCAAAGATGATATGAGGTGGTAGTTTGTTTTGATTTTTATATATATTTTTGTTTTCAACCAAAAGGTAAATTTAGTTATTTTCACTGTTTATTTCACTCTTTGCTGTTTTCTTTTGTCAGTGTTATACTATTTCTGTCACTGAGGAGGTTTGAAAATTAGCAGAAGAATTGTATGTGAATTTACTCCATTTTTTTGTTGTTTTTTGACTTCTTGATTCTGAAAATAAAAACTTCAAATGGATTTGGAATGGAACACCTATGCAAGGGCCACTATTTGGCCTACTATTTACCATATAACAAAAGATTGTTTATGTTTCCTTTTTACCATTTATTGATTAAAACCATGATGAACATGATTATATGCCATTGGTCTCTCCATTTGTTGATACTTTGTAAAATTGAATGAATTGTTAAATCATTTTCCAATTATATATTGGATATATTGGTGTGGGTGTGTCTATATTGGGAGGAGGAAACTATTTGATTTTACCGCCCGTTCCAAGGTAGTACAAAAGTAGATATACAGAGCGTTCAGGGCAGTGAACGATTTTAATGACAGATTGTATAACAGATGAGCGTCGCCTAAGACCGCATCGCTCTCCGCTAATATTCTTCCGCCAGTCAGCTGAGTTGCATTCACAGCTGCGTCGCGGCTTGACTGAATTTTGTTTGTTTCAATTAATTTTGAATCGCTTAGATTTAGAAAAACAGTTTTCACGAGAGAATATTTAATTCCTATCATTAATGGATGAAAAAATTATACTAAGTGATTCAAAACATTTCGAAATACTCTTAGAAACATGTGTGATTGATTGAATTAAGTCATAGAACAAAGAATGAAATGAATAATACTGCATAGCTCCCACGTAGGCCTTGTAAAACTACCGGAATTCTGCCTGTACTTTTCGGTCTTTGCTGATCATAAGATTCAAATTAATGTGTGCTTATAATGTTTTGCAGTTGCAGTTATGATATCTGGTGTTTATAATTACGATTTCAGTTTCCGTTGCTCATCTTATGACTGACAGCCAGTGCTTATCAATTATTATCATGACTTGCAGGATATGGTTAGTAATTGTGAATTCGTTTAGCTAACGTAATACTTTAAATAAAATAATTTGTTCAGTTATTGACTAATTAAACAACGGCTTAAGTGACATGTATAATTAACATAAAACTTACCATGAATTTGCTATTTCTTTTCATAATTTTGCTTCTCCTGCCATGCATTACAATCTTGTAAATTTCACACTTACTTTCCAAATTTCTTGCGGGAAAGGCGTACAAGTTAGTAGATATTCTGGAGTTACTGTTGGCAGTATCTCAGTTATTAAATTGATCCATAACTTCAGCGTAAATTTCTAAATATGGCAATCAAGTCAGTTCTTAAAAAATTAAAAAATGTGTTAAAAAAGTGCTATAATTATTGTAGCTCATCTGTCATCAAAATATATAAAATAGTACATTCAAATTAATGAAAGATAAATGGTTTTCATGATCACTGTGCAAGTTTAGCTTTAGAAAATGAAATTGGAAATGTTTCATACCTCAATAAACTTTATTACATAATATAAAAATTAATTAGAAATTAGATGAAAGGTAACAAAAAAACAAACATGTAAGTGAAAAAAATAATTCCCTTTTATTGCATGATTATTTATTGCAAGGATACAACATTTCCACCGAATCCATTTGAAGGTTCAATAATTTTACCACTAGATTATTTTTAAAGTCCAACAATACCCAAAAAATCAAAAGAGTTTCCTAATTCCTTTGTAGAAAATATTCCACAACCTACTATAACAATCTCCAGCCTCACCTACCCCATTTGCCAGGCAGGACTAAAATTTGAAATAAAAGTTATACATTTGAAATTTTTACCAAGAGATAAAACAATGAACAATGTACGTATTGTATCTTCTTATATGACAACACTTTATGGTTATCAAAGAGTCCTACAGCCGATTTGATAATTTAATAATGTATTTGCATTAAGATGTACATACAAGAATCAACATACTGCCCTCAAAAATAAAACTTTTCTTGTCACTGAATCTGCATTTCTAATTTTTTATAAAAGAACTAATTATTCTATTTACTTGAAGTAATTTTTGGATGAGTTAAGTGAATGTTATTAAAATAATTTTCAACCCATTCATTCACAATCAAACCTTTTCTGCACAATAACTTTCATTCACACATCCATTTATATGCCTTTCATATACATAAAAAAAAACGCTTCATTATAACTGAAAAAACTTCTTTATTTTAATAAATAAAATTAAAATCATACAAAAATTACTAAAAATAATTTACAAAGGAAAAACATGTGCAGAACATAAAAGAAGTGTCTAGTATATCTTCTGAGAAGTACGCCTTAAAAAAAACACCCTACCCATACAGAGGGCAAAAAAGCAACATACTTCTGGGAAGCAAGCAAATGAGCATTATTTACAAAAGGCTATTTATTCAGTAAGCCATGCATCAGCTAAAAAACATAAAGTTTCACTATTTCACCTGGAATGTAAACCACTACTACGCTCC